TCCCTTCTAAGGGAAGCTGAATCAGAAGGCCTTGAAAGCCTTGGGCATTCCATAAAAAAGTAAAAGTAGTAGAGAATCGATCACGGAAGCCATATCCCTTCAAAAGCTTAGAAATAAGGGCATAAAAAAATATATTCCGACATATTGATAGCCTACTCCTTTTATTGAAGTCGGTTAAAATTACAAAGCAAATGAAAACTCAAATGGTTCAATCATTATACAGCTCTGAGGCCAATTCCTGTTCTGTGAAAATATGAAGTGAAAATATGTTTTCCACCACTTCACATATAATTAAAAATCTGTTTTTAAATGAAAATAAAAGTTTTCATAGTGAAAGTATTTTTTTTGCCAATTTTTGTGGCTGTGAAAAGAAAAGTTGCGCATTTTGCTCGAAAACATCATCTACAAGATAAAGAATATAATTTTCTCAAATTAACAAAAACTTTTCAAATAGCATTTAATTACCGAGAATCGCTTAAAATTAAATAAAAAGTGATGATATAGTGAAAAAATAAAATCTTCACTGAGTTTGAACTTTTCGTTTTCACTTCACCACTTCATAGAACAAGAATTGTCTTGCTGGACAACATATCCATGTAAGTACATTATTCGTTTTCTTTTGAATCTTCTGTACCAATCATTACCAATTTTTTCCAAAATTTGTTTGCTATAATGTGGAAACCTGCGTTCGTTTCGAAATGGTCGAATTACTACTCGCTTCGGCCCTGTATTTTTCCTCCTAGTAGGAAAATTAATTTATGTGTACTTAGTCTTATGAACCATTTCGGCGTAAAATGCGAATAAATTGAGCAGTTCTAAACATGCGGAAAATTCAGTTAAGATCTGAACTTGGTTTTTTTAAATTAATGTATAACTATAGTACTTAAACAAAAGAAATATTATTTAAACATGTCCCTTTTTATACGAATACCTTTTTTATTATCTCTAATTCATAGTCATTATTACATAATTCTTTTATTATAGTTGCGCAGCTTTAGATATCCTATGTCTCTTGTCTACAATTTTTAAAAATAATGCAGCAAAGGAATGCAATAAAGCGGAAAAGCAATTCAAATGAACGCCTTGCAAAGTGGACAATTGGAGAAGTTGTGCCTTATAATGTGTGCATAGCACATCTGTTAAGTGCTAGAAAAATTCAGACGGGCCATAAATAAGAGCAAGTGGTCCGGTCCACAAGTGCAAAAAACATACAAGTAACCAGCAGCTGCAGAACCAGGCATATATGTATATATGTAGTACGTATATTGTATTTATATATTGGCAACGATAGCAACTGCAGCATTGCTGCTGCAGCGTTTGTTAACACACTATATCGTCGCTCGAATAAAGAAACAGTGTAAATGCCACATACACTATTATTCGATAATTGCACCATTGGATAGACAATCCTTTAATCTATTAGAAAAATCTTTAGTTTTCTTAAATATCTCTTTGGCTCACTAATTTATTCCCGAAAAACGAAATTGTATTTGTATGGTTTGTAACGGTTTATAAAAACTTCCAATTCGTTTTTCTCAAAACTATACTTTTCATGTTACACTATTTCATTATTCCAGCGACGATATATGCTTGTATGTAAACGTACAAATGTGCATATACCACCAGTGACCGAGTCTATGTTGCTCCCAGCTTGGTTGAGGTCGCGGCCCTGTATTTAGCACGACTTTAATTGATGAATATTGAACAGTTGTCCAGGGCGCGCGCAATGGCATGGAATAGTGTCGGCGCTTGCCAGTGCTGCCTGGCTAAACATATGGATGTATGTGGACAAAGTTTATATGTAATGGAGTGATGTGCCGAACTACTAACCTTTTGTTCCAGTTCTCTTTGAATTGCCGCAGGTGTGATATATTTGCAATTTTTGTATCGTGGATTGTCTGATTGTTTCTCGTGCTTTCTCGTTCGTTTGTCACAGGAATAGAAAGCGATTATATTGCGTAGCCCGGAATTTTTCACTTCTGTCCGCGATCAAATCTATTAGCTTTCAATGGTAGTCAATAATTTAAACAATTTATTTCATGAAATTATAAAAAATGGATTATATAATGAATAAACTTTGGCAAAAGACGGACCGAACGGTCAGCGCAGTTGACAAGCGGCTATTGGCTTATTGCACGCGCGTCTATAATTGTGAAAATAAATCTCCCTGCACTTTTTTCTTAGTTTTTCAATTTTTCTTTACCGCCGAATAAACTTCCTCAATTTTCTTTATTGCTTTTACTTTCTTTACGCCTTTCCGCTTATGACGTTACTGATGGCTCGTCGCATCGACCGATAGTTTCACTTTTTCCTGCTTCCGTTTTCAGACGCGCACGACACGCAATTTCACTTCACTTTATTTAACTCGCTAATTGAACGTGTTACAAAATGTTATCTTTTAACGCGAATGCTAAACTTTCTGTTTCTTCCGAGTTATCACCGATTTAAGCCAGCACAATAGACCAACTATGCACCAAGTGATCTGGAACTCAACACCTAACCTAGCCACAAAGCAGAGAACGTCCAAAAAGGTATTTACGAACAGCAAACAAAACGGAATGTGTAGAGCTCTGTCAAAATATGTGGAACTCAAAAACAGATGATAAATGAGTTCCACTTACATAACTTCCAAAGATGCCAATTAGGTTAAAAATTTGCTGTCAATAAAATAAAGGAGCAGTTAGACGGTGCAACTGCAAGTTCTTTTCCAAAGTCTGCCAAACTCAAGAATTTCCAAAAGTGATTACAGGACCTTGCATGTATAGCGACTTTCGAAAGCAGTTTTTATTTCCGAAAATCACACTTTCCTACACCACTTTTTTTCTTTTTAAACAGTGAATGCAGAAAATTCCAATTTCACCTGTGTTACCAGAAAATTCGCACAAAACAACTGCAACATGTCTAATGTTTATATATTTAAATTGCTCATATCAGGAGAATTCATAAATTAAAAGTATTCTATACTCGTTCTGTATATTCTTAAAATGTAGCTATAAAACAAGGAAAAACATGTTATTTCTTAGAACTCTGCACCCCACTGGAATGATGTCAAGCACTACATCGTGAGGGAGAAAGGAAGTCCTTAGCCCCTTCATAACGCCTGCTATGGCGTTACATGCTGCCGACCATTTTTCGCTGCATATCCCCACTGAAGAGCTAGTTTTTTGCACGGTACACAACGTCCCCCCTTGCGTCCAGTAGCAGCAACTGCCGAATACCACATAAAGATTTATTTTTATCACCCTATACTTCCGGTAGTGCATTCCAGTGAAATGAGTTCCACTTACATAACTTCCAAAGATGCCAATTAGGTAAAATATTTGCATACATAAAGTAGCAGTTAGACGGTGCAAGTGCAAGTCAAAATCACAAGTCTGTCAAACGAAAATCAAACTTTCCTACTCCAATTTTTGTCTGTTTACACAGTGAATGCAGAAAATTCTAATTTCACCTGTGTTACCAGACTTTTATAATGCTTTGTAACAATATTACTGATCCGAAAAATTTGTTAAAAATGCTAAAATGCGCACAAAACAACAACAACATGTCTAATGCTTATATATTTAAATTGTTTATATCAGGAGAATTCATAAATTACAAGTATTCTATACTCGTTCTGTTTATTCTTAACAGTTTTTTCAGGGGCTCTCAAGTGTCCCTATAAAACCAGGACAAGCATGTTATTTCTTAGAACTCTGCACCCCACGGGAATGATGTCAAGCACTACAATGTGATGGAGAAAGGAAGTTAGTCGCCGCTGCTATGCCGTAGCTATTCGGGTGTCCTCAGCCCCTTCATAACCTCTGCTATTGCGTTACATGCTGCCGACCATTTCCCTGCAAAAATCACGACTACTCCATGCATGCATGTCAAGAGTACTCCCTAAGGACCAACGAGTACTCCAAAATTAACCACAATTCATATAAAAAATATGGTCCAATTAACATTGCGATGTCCTACGGCAGGACCATATACTCCATCTCTGCATTACATCAGAGTAGCACAAAACTACTCCAACATATTAACAATGGCATTGTTGTTATATTTTTTCGTTTGTACACGCTTTTGTTCTTCACTTCACAGATGCTTTTTCGCAACCAATAAAAACCAAAAACAAAAATAAAAAATTACATGTTGCCTCTGACGGCATTCGAACCCAAACATGCTGGGAGCAAACAAATAACAGCCAGCATCTCTACACGTTCAGCTACAGCCAGACATGCAAATGTGCTTTCAAATGATCAACTTCAATCACATTTCGTTAAAACACGAGCAGCGATCGCGTAACAATAAGCAAGTGCAGAGACACGAGTTGGTCCGCTACAGCATGACAGAGCAACACTTTTGTAAGTACTCCAATATACCACAAATAGATTACATGGTCCAACGATTTTTGCAGGGTTTTCGCTGCTTTGTAGCATGAACCAATTAGAACAGATCTGACCGGCTGAGAAGCAGCCATTTGTAATAGCAATTGAGAAAAAAGTGTGTGACGTTCGTAATTTTGAAGTTTGCTGTTTCTGTTTTGCTTCTTTCTTTATGTGTATTTTGTTGGTGGTTTATTTCAGTGATTTTTAAGTGATTTTCTGTGCAAATGTAATTAAAATGAAGTGCGCGGTGATTGGATGCAAAAACACGTACAAAAATAATAAATCGGTATTCTTCATATTCTTTGTTTACTTTTCACAGAAAATAACAGGACGCCGAAATTACAAATGTCAGCCAGAAAATTACTTTTTTCTTTTGCTTCATCTTGTCAGATCTTGTGTAGTTGGATCATGACTTTGTAGGATATCCCCACTAGTGCTAGTTTTTTCCACGGTACACGGTACACAACGGTTTAAACCCCTTACGACCAGTAGCAGCAACTGCCGACTTATTTATTTATTTATTTATCACCCTATACTTTCGGGTAGTGCATTCCAGTTTCGTCCGGTAGTGCATTCCAGTGACGTCCGGTAGTGCATTCCAGTGGAAGTTTTGTGATCTATCCCTGTTCTGACATTCATCTTGTCTTTGACATTTGTTTGACAAATTTGTTGGGTTGTGATTTGCAAAAATTTTCTCCTGCTTACCAATTTTGGAAAGTAAACGTTTGTTCTAAAAGATAAATAAAAGTTTATAAAAATTGTGGCAATGACAGCACCATCAGCAAACGTATCAGCTTATTTAGCAGCACAAAAGAAAACAACCAACAAGGAACTTGCGTCCGAGTGGACTACCATCGAAGATTTGCACAACGAAAAGTAAGAAGTTGCAGGACGCCAACAGATTCCGATTGTCTTTCGATTTATTTTAATCCTTGGTTAATATTTTATGAACTTTAGGTTATGGAATGAATTGACTATTTTGTTAACGCGTTTTGTTCGTCATCCCGCTCTGCAAGATGAGGATACTTTGCTACAATTATACCAAAACTTCATATCATCATTCGAAATGAAGTGAGTAAAATTTGACTTACAGTCTTTTACCAAAGTTTATATTATTTATTTATTTCCGATTACAGGATAAATCCATATGGGCTAGTGCAAATTCTCGAGGTAGTAGTAGAACATATTTCCGATAAGAAGGAAGCCGTTGAGTTCTTAGAAAAACTGAAGGAGAAAGTAAATATTTGCGATGAAGCAGTGTGGTATATTAGGGTAAAAAGCAATTTTGTAATATTCATTAGACACTATAAAAGATCGAAAAATTGTAGGTATTGCAAGGTAACCTTTATTTGACCAACCTTAATGATTTGGACGCCACAAAGAAAATAATTGAGGAATTGCGTGATGTGCTCGAAGAAGCCGGAAATGTTACACCAGTACATGGTAAATTTTATATGCTCGCCTCACAGTACTACCGGCGAGTTGGCCAACACAGTGATTACTATCGCTGTGGATTGCAATTCCTTGGCTGTTCGCTCGATGATTATCCTAAAGATGAGTGGGCGCAACAAGCTTTTTTCCTTGGCTTAGCAGCATTGCTAGGTGATGGCATTTATAATATCGGTGAATTGGTATGTTTCGTTTAGTATAAAAAAATTGTATAATTCTTTTGTAATTCATTTTTATAAAGCTTGCACATCCAATTCTGGAGTCGTTGAAAGGCACAGACAACGAGTGGCTTGTTGAATTATTGAAAGCATTTAATACAGGCAACATCCCAAAGTAAGTATATTCTTAGTGCTGTATACAATAATAATTATATACATTATTTAAATAATATTTTCATAAACAGGTTCAATGAGATGAAGAAAATTTGGTCAAAGATTCCTGATTTGGCGGCGCAAGAAGTAAAATTGCGTAAAAAAATCTCATTACTTTGTCTAATGGAAATGACTTTCCAACGTTCAGCCATTCAACGTTCGATATCGTTCGAGGAAATTGCAAAGGAAACAACGCTGCCATTGAACGAAGTTGAATTGTTAATAATGAAAGCGCTTGCGCAAGATTTAGTACGTGGCGAAATAGATCAGGTCGCTGGAGTGGTGAATATGTCATGGGTACGTACACTGTAACTTCTGTTTAAATTATTTACATATTATAACGAGTATTTTCTTTTTTATTGGATTTTAGGTGCAACCACGGGTATTGGGTCGCAAACAAATCGCCGGCATGGCCACAACTTTGGACCATTGGATGGCATCTATAACATCAATGGAGAAACTGATGGAAACGCGTGCCGCTGAAATTTTAACCAACTAATACTTTTTGAAAACTTTTTTGAATTTTTTTTAACGTTTAGATTATAAATGAAATAAAATGCAAAATGTACTCATAAGAAATAGCTGATGGGATATGTTCTGCAAATGTAAAGTAATAAGCACCACAACATATTTACTTAAAATCTATAAATTAACCAGAAATTTCAAACGGCGAACTGTTAAAGCTAAATTCAAAATTGAAATTTTTTCTTAAGGTCATGTATTTTTTTTAAGATTTAGTTTTTAATTTAAGTTGGAGCAGCATAAAACTATGAAAAGAGGTTTCGGGGAATCAGCTGGAGTGACAGTCCTTGGCCAGATATGTAGATGTAGATCTGGGACATTCCGGTTACGTAGACCCGACTGTTGCAAGAACGCGTGCATTTTGATAGGGAGGCGTGTTTTCGAGCAGCAGTAAATGTACGACTCTGCCTACATCACTCGTTCGAGGAACAAAAGTTTGACAATCCGTTGCCCTCACTGGAAGATCAAAAGCAACATAAAAAATGTTACTA